AATAATCCCTGTTCAGGGTCAAGATCAATTGAAATGTTACTCTCATGTTTGTAATTCTCATATTATTTCAAAACAAAATAGTCARACATTGTCAAATGCCAATAAAAATACTAAATTCATCAAAAAATTGCATATTGCCAACAACTAGAGTATTGGTTTGTCTTTGAGCACTTTAGTACAGTATATAATTTTAAACACCCTAGATGYAGCTATTGAATAAAAGATATAAATGTAAGTTTTTTATTACATTTTACATGGTCATTGATGAATCAGATGTATGTTTACCCTGGCTTAACTATTAAGTCAAATAGTACATTGAAACTCATAAAAGGGCTCCAGATATTTGCTTACATTATTCAAACAAAAAAAGAAGAAATAGGGTCAAACAAAACAAAAGATTCTGAACTTTATTTACATGTTGTCTAAAAATAAAATGATTTTTGTTCGTAATACTAATAACATTAACAGTGTACAAATTGTACAATTTAAAGATTTTAGATACTGTATGTCATTGTTTTTTTACAATGTTAATAAGCAAATGTCAAGGGAATTCAATTTTATTCTATACTTTTCTATTTTAGCCCTCAACAGAGACAGTGGTCTCTCGTGCTCTGAAAGCTGCTCATCATTTATATCTGACCCACTATCAGTGAATGGCGAGGGACAGTCAGTGCTTAGTGATARYGAACACCTGTCAGACTTCACTGGTGATAACTTCTCTGTGATCAGTGATCCTCTRGGTGCTTACAGTGCCAGTGATGATGGTGAAGGGGATAACGATATCCATTTCTTTGAAACCAAACCATGGGATGAAAAGCAAAATTTAGAGTAAGAATGCAATGATTTATTACCGATATGGCTGCCATCTTGAATTTCATTATGCATGTATTTGTAAAAAGATAATTGGAATGTCTGGGAAGCACTGTATTGTAGTTTATCTTGTAAAACGCAGGAATAATTAATGAAGAAAACACAATAGAAATCACAACCGTGAAGAGTGTTGTAATATTTGATACAACACTGTCTTGATTTGCATAAACTTCAAATATAATTTTCTCAGCCAAATTCAATTATTTTATCTTTAAGTTTTTAGTAGATTATGAATGTATACACCTAAACGTTTCACAAGTGATTTACAACATTCGCGTCCGTGTTGTATGGGCTTTACAATCTCTTGCCTTCGGCCCGAGATTGTAAAATCCCATACAAYATGGCTGCTCATGTTGTAAATATTTACCTAACATACTGTTATAATATTGAATTACAGAAGGGAATGGAAATTGCTTTTCACTRCTGAAAACTACTTCTCTGAGGTGTGTAAGCATTTGCATTAAGACAGCTTTTGCACTGAACTCAGTTAATATTATWAAAATAAGTTAATTATAAAGTTAAAATAAAACACACTTTGTCTTCTGTGAGCTAAATTTAAGTAATGCAAGAGTCTTTATCACAGAGCTATCACCTTTAGCATGTCTAGGATACTTAGAGCGGATTTCGTATGAGTGGGAAACGGACGGTACTGTACTGTGACCGTAATCGTACTGTAACCAAATTCTAGTGCCCCATTGTTTCACCAAAATTGTGAAGGCCAGGTCCGGTAACTGTGCGGTAACGGTGCCCCACTCATACGAAATCCGCTCTATCATAAATAAAACTACAGGAAGTCACCATTACAGTACTGGTAACTTTATTTGATAAGAGAACTTTTTAAATATTGTATGTTAATATATTCATGAGACTTTTAAATTAAATATCTTAATCTTATCTTGGACTCTATATAGCTGTCTCAACATGCATTGAGTGGAAAATTAAAACATTCCAAGTACAGGAGTATTGCATGGAAGGTAGGAAAGTATGTATAGCATAATTGCATGTATGTTACGGCAGGCATTTTAATTAGTGTCTTTTTTAAGAAAAGATATAGTGCTTTCTGTGTTAAGTATAATTTTATAAAAAAGGGTACAGAATGAATTTCAGCAAAAGAGGTTTTGATAAAGGCCTAATAGGAGTGTTTAATGTTCTGTGCTTTTTTTTTTCTTCTTTAACAAATCTAAAACTCTTTATCCTTTCTCATTTTGTTGTCCCAACATTCTTTTTTCTTTCTTTTTCATTTCCTATTTTTCATTTCTAAAATTTTTTTGTATGCTTTTCTTTTATTCTGTAACATGTCATATCTATCCTTTCTTATTTTGCTATCTCAGCTTTCTTTTTTCATTCTGTTTTGCATCCTCTCTTTCATTTCTTTGATTTCTTTACAAAAAAATCAAGATTCTTTCCTTTTCCATTTACCAGTTGTTCTTGGATTGTTTGCCTGAAGACCAAGACCAGTGGATCACAAGAACAAAACAGTTACGCTTTGAGTACAAAACATTCAAACAAAAGGTGACTGATTGATAATCATCAGACTTATTAATAATTCATGAGCTAGCAGTACAATAATTCATTCACACCTTGTAGTCCATTTGCAGTCATGTGCAAGCATTTTATTATTAATCGATGGAGCAGTGCATAAATGAGACATGCGTTTAATGCATAAAACATCAATGTTTTATCAATGATAAAGAACAGGTGTTTTATTCATCAGTATCTTAGAATGAACATAGGTAAAGCAAAGTCCTGAGTTTTTGATGAGAGCCTTTGCTGTGTAGTGCACATTAATTGAACTTACTGATAACKTTTTGGACTTAACATTTGCTCACAAAAATATTGTTATTGAAGGTGTCTAGGGTACTTWATGAAATATCTGATTGTTCATGATGCTTTCTTGTAGAGTCTGATAGACCCAAGCACATCTAAAGAAGATGTAGAAAGTTTGCATATTCTTCACCCTTTGTCCCTTGATGAAAGTGTAAGTTTTACTTGATATAAGCTTCATGGCAGTTTTAATCACTTCTATTGCTTCCTCTAATATAACTGCATTTCTTTGCTCTATCCTCAGCTTAGTATAAATAAATTCTATATAATAACATATGTATAACCACATACTGTTTATTTTCAAACAGAGTCCATGGAAGCAATTCTTCAAAGAYAACGAATTGAAAGCATTAATAAAGCAAGATTTAGACAGACTGTAAGTATCTTAGTATGCTGAGAAAAMGTTTTTATCTATTGTACTCTTAGTATAGAGCAGCCAAAAAGAGCAAGCAAATATGTTTTTCATATTCTGCAGAACATTATGAATAACAAATGCATGTATTTAAAAAACATAGAGTAAAATGTTGTCTAAGGTTGAATTGACTGGTTGATGTATATACTGTACATGTATTTAGTAAATCTCAGTATTGTAAGTCAAATTGTACAATGATCATAATACAGTTTGATTTTGACCTTACAAAAGGCTTTGTTTGTTTTAAGWTATCCTGAGATTGAATTCTTCAATTCTTCAAATATCAAGTAAGATATGATTATATTGTTTTGAACTWGTTGATGCTGCAGTTACAAATTTACAAGGTACTTGTACAGTTACTTTTAATTATTATGTACTTTTTTTTAGAGAAACATTGCTCAATCTCTTGTTTTGTTATGCAAAGAAAAATGAAAGTTTGGGTTATAAACAGGTATTTGTAGCTTTGCTTTTTGGAAGCTCGTCATATCATCACAGTATGAATATTTTCCCATTTTTAGTAGTATTTTCACTGGCATATAATGATTTTTTTATTATTGCAACAGGGTATGCATGAACTTCTTGCACCAATAGTGTACGTTTTGGATTGTGATTCCAAGTCGCACAAGTATGCAGATAGCATGTGAGTTGGAGTTAATGATGTTAAAATTTTCATGTATTGAATCAGTATTTCAAAGTCCTTTTATTTTTTGTTTTTGAAAGAAATGAAACGATTGGATGTTTACTGGATCCTAATTACATTGAGCATGATGCTTTGTAAGTACATTWTAGATTTCTTTCAGTTTAATGCTCATTATTATTCATTTATTTATTATTACTGATTCCAGCAAAATGACCAAATCGGGTATTGAAAAACTTGAAAAGTTCTAAAAAGATCTAACAATGTCATTATTATTAAATGTTGTTTGTTTATTTGTAGTGCTATGTTTTGTCAACTGATGGAAGTAACTGAGACATGGTACCAACACCATAATATATCATATGAAAATACAACTAATGAGGTAATATCTATGTCAGTCAATTTGACCTCATTCATAGGCCACCCAACTATTGCTTGAGAGAAAGAACAAACAAATGTACACGCTTTTATTATGTTATGGCATTGGTGTGCGCTCTTATCAAAATGTGGGTTACCTGTGGGATCATGAACGTAATACCACAGGTAACCCACATTTTGCTAAGAGCGCGCGCCGATAACAGTATCGTACAAGCATAAAAGCGTGCGCATTCGTTCTTTTCCTGCTTTCAAGAAATAGTTGAGCTGCCTATGTCATTCACGGACCCCAAACCAATAGTCTTCTTTGACACAGTTCCTTGCAAAATCTTGAAAGGGAGCCATGCCTTTGCATCAAAGCGAGACAACTGTTAAGTTTGCAATGATAGAAACCTTCTTTCACACCTACTGAAAAATATTCACTGGTATCTATCATTGCCAGCRCAACAGTCTTCTTATTTGATGCCAAGACTTGGCTACCTTTCAAGATGGCACAGGGAACTATAAAAGACACTATTTGAAAAACATCAAAATTGATTATTATCGATGGCTTGAATCATGATTGAAGAAATTGGATACACAAGCTGTTAAATTTGTATTTTTATCAAAAAAAAAAACTTAAGAAATATATTATATGAATATTATATATCAGCTTAGTAACATTTGCATGCATGTTTTGTCGTTGAAATCCACTTACCTGTGTGTGCATGGACATTTGTTTTTAAAGGTAACTTTTTGTAAGCTAATTATCAGTTAACTCTTAATTTCTTCTTTCAATTTCTTCATTTTTGAGTTCCTTAACATTGTAATTTTTYCAGTTTTTGAGTAAATCAGAACCATTTGCTGCACCACTAACTGCACCAGTAAGTACATTGTGACATTCATTCACATAATAACTTTGTTTTGCATGCGTCCCATCGTCTATTTCATACCTTTTTTAGCCAACAGCCATTGTGAAAAAGCTCAATAAGATTCAAGACCATTTGCTGAGAAAACACGACACAGACTTGTGGTTCCATCTCAAGGAAATGAATATTGAACCTCAAGTTTATGGTCTGTAAGTACAAAATACGCCGAAATGAGGAAAATGAATTATTTATTGAATAATTATCCATGAAATTGTGTCGCGTAGGAGATGATGGCTTTGGGGTAAAGAGAAAATGATCGTCGAAATCGTGCTAGTTGATAAGGAATAAAAATAGAATTTGTTTTAAGTCTATAATCTTTAAAATATCGATGCAAAATTGGTTTATCATTATTATTATCATAATTAACATCATCATCATCATTATTATCATACAATTTATTTATTATTCAATCCGTTTTCTTCAGACGTTGGATTCGTCTTCTGTTTAGTCGCGAGTTTCCGTTCAACGATGTTCTTATTATCTGGGATGCTTTGTTTGCTGAAGGAAGACATTTAGATCTTGTTGAATATATTTACATCGTCATGCTGCAAACCATTCGTGGCAAACGTATGTATATTAGTATGATGTATGTATTGAAGTAAGGATGGGTTATACCCAATCGACTCTAGTGCAAACTCAGGGTGCTTTCCATTTGTCAGAACTGGCTGGCCAGACCCAGAGAAAATGTCATTATATATCATTCCAATTTAGTTGGGAAATTCAAATTTTCAAATTCTATCCAGTATTCTATAGAAAATCTCGAAATGACTGAAAACGGTTGACAAAAAGCATAGTATATCTCTGAATAGAGCAGACTGGACGGCCAGTTCTACCCGTAAATGGAAAGCACCCTCAGACTCAAGCATAAGGATTTTCTTGAGTTCGGCCAACGAGGACGAGGAGCTGTGCTTGCCCTTGCTCAGTTGGGCGCTTGCTTTTGTGCTAGCTTCTATGCTTGTGCTTGCGTCATGAATACCGGGCTTTATGGGTTTGAAGCAACGTCTACAATACCAGACCTAACCTGAGTACCAGTCTCTTTTGAAGGGTATTGGGGCGCYGCGACACGTGTCTCTCCACCCCAATCCTCTTCGAGAGCGCCAGTTACTCAGGCCACACTAAGCTCACACTAGCATACACGCAGTCATTAACGTTATTTCGTCTCTTGTAGTTATGGCYAGTAACTACACRACKTGTATGAGCTACTTAATGAAGTTTCCTCACATCCATGAAGACGTCCACGTTATCGTCAAACGTGCTATGAATCTACGAGGTGTCAAGGTAAGWTTCATTAATAATTCATAAGGTGCTGAGCCAATAAAATTGCTGATTTGACATCACATGATTAGCTTGGTGGGAACTAGCGGTAAACTAGTGTGAGCTGCGTCGGTGTTTCTAATGAAACAGTTGTGTAAAAACATAAATTTAACACCGTAAAAAATAGGTGAAGCAACTTACTGACGTCGACGTTAATCCTTCGTCGGAGTAAAGAGGAAAAAGACAAAGAGTTGGCTCAAACTTCGAATTTAGATCAATCAAATTGTGACCATGTCAAACGTCGTATTAAATAAGTCGTTCAATTATTAACTTATTTATTAAGTTCATGTGTAGAACACCTCAGAATACTAAAAGTACCAAATTGCGAAGTCAAACGTCGTATTTTTACATGAGCTTGAATGTGACCCATATTAATAGCGACGTTTGACCCAGCATTGATGATGATTTTGGTAACATATTATTTATCAGCAATTATATAAATATTCATCATTTA